GGAGTGGGGAATGGGATCAAAAACGGGGGGTTGGGAGGGAAGTGCACGGGATTAAGGTGATGGCACACGGGTGACTTGGTGATGGGAAACCCGCGGGGACTACACTTGAGATGGGGGAAAAAATGTACAAAACGATGTAAAAATAAACTATTAAAATTTTTTTTTAAAAAAGGAGAGGGATGCTCTGCTTTCACTTTTCCTTAGCAGTTGGCTAGAATGTGAATGTGGTAGTAAAACCACAGTTTGGACCATGGGGAGGAAGGCTAGAGGGCTTGGAAAAGCAGAGATGGAAAGATTCTGAATGCAATCTTGCTAAAAGCACTAACTTTGCAGCTGAGGGACTTTTGGGCTTTTAATCTAACTGATACATGTTCCTTTGTAGAAAACCCACCTAGATAGTTATGCAAAAGGGAACTCATCCCCAGAATGGGACTATTCTTTAGTGCAGCCCTGTTCACCTGGCAGTGAACAGTTAACTTAAATCTCGGACTTCGATTTCAGAGCTTGTCTTAACTTCTTCCATACATTCTTCTGCCATACTTTCTCCTACTTCTGGAAATCCAGATCATTTATTTCTAGAAATGAAGTGGGATATTGTCCTGTTTACCAGTCCAGTTATGCAGCTACTATACCATGAAGGCATCCAGTGGACAACATTAGAGTAGAGACATGAGCTGGACAGAACACTGGACACGGAGCCTGGAAAAGTAGGTTGTGGGGCCAATTTTCTTTGTAGTCTTGGGATAAAGCTAGCCTCTCCAGCCAAATTTTCAACACCAAAATTCTATGCTTCTTCTAAAATAAACTGGGAGCTACTAACCTTGTACTCAATTGCACATTTGACACTACAACTCAAGGTTGGACCACGGATGTCTTAGGAATAGCCAGTATCGTCAAATGAAAGACAACTGGACAAATAGAAAAGTGTCATCTTCCAATGGCTGTGAGGATGCTGCACAGGCCAGAGTAGAAGAAACAACTGAACTTCTATTCCTGAGTTGCCAGAGAAAATAAGCGTGTGTCTTCCAAGGTTTCACAGGAGGGGCAGCAATGGCTTTGGGACTAGACAAATCCTTCTTGTATGGTTCTACACTTTATATTAATGAAGAGTCGGCGTTCCTAACATTTATCTATTAAAAGTTTCAAAAATATTTCCACATGCCCCCTAGTGAGCAAAGGAACTCTGTAGCTGGGAATCTCTATTAGCCAACCCTTTCACTTTACAGTCAAGGAGATATTCAAAAGGGCTCAGACATGTTGCCCAAAGTTACCTTTGCTTTGGTGGCAATGCTTAAAGAGCTGTAAGTCTCAAGATCCTCACTTAGTTGTTTTTTTTTTTTTTAAGATGAATTTATTTATGCATACAAGAACTGGGGTACAGGCAAAAGTTACAGAATGTGAAAGGATTTGCCAGAGATAGAGTGGGGAGCGGAAAAGGTGGATCTACTGAAAGACTGCTGAGGGGAGCAGCGGGGGAGACAGGAGAAGTCTGCTGCACCATGTGGGTCAGCAACCTGGTTGAGAATCAGGCTTGTGCGACTGTGTCTGTGTACAGCTTCATAGTGCTGTGCTTCAACCCACTGTGTCTGGCCCTCCCTGGTGGCACAATGGGTTAAAGCACACAAGCAGCAGCCACTTCAGTGTGAGTTCGATCCCCGGCCCTGGAGGTGATCCACATGACTCTCCTGACCCAACCGCTGCTCCCCTTAGCAGTGTATCTCGTCGATCTTCCTGTTCTCCCCACTCTGACTTTTGTGAATCCTCTCACTGGCCCTGGATCCCTGGCCTGTACCCCAGTTCTGTATGCATAAATAAATAAATCTTTAAAAAAAAAAAAAAGGAAAGAAAATACAACCCACTGTGCCATCAGGGAGGGCCCCTGACTTAGTTTTGTCTTTCTAACCTTGGTCAACATTCAAATAGCATCAGTATTCTAGGTTAACGCCAGCAGTGGGCCCCAAAGCAGAGTGGTGGGAAATCTCCCTGGGTGAGCAAGACGATCTACTTTGATGTCAGAAAAAGAAATTAAAACTTTCTGTTTCTGTTTTATCATCTTCTTTAAAATTCTGTAGGATTTTAAATGTACATAATATATTAGTAGCATAGCTTATGTATAATTTATAGCTATATAAATATACATATATTGGTACATGTTCAAATTTTTTAACTGATGTTATATGTGATCAAGAGAGCACAGAGACCCCCCATTTATATTTCCTATCTAGCTCTTTAAAAATTATCAAATTTCCCTGATTTATCTGACAATCTATTTTTCCAGAATAAAACCTGTTTGTTGTTCTTTTAAGAAAAAGGTATCAAATGGTAATGAAACCAGATTATCAAAGAATACATCAGCACTCCATAGAACAAGGCTGGTTATTTTTGTTTGTTTGTCCCCAAACTAACCATTTATGACCCCAATCCTCTGGTTACATTTAATCTAGAAAATCAATCAACCAACTTTAGGTGAGCTGGACCTGTATTACGAAGAAGCTCTAGGATGGTTAAAGAAGTAAGAAAGAGGACCCAAAAGGCAGTGGTTGGGGACTTTCCCACTGTGATGCTGAGTGAGAGCTAATTTCAACATTTGCTCTTCTTTTCCATCTTTTCCACCTGGTCTTGGAACAAAACTTAAATTACTTCAAACTTTAAAAACAAATGTTCCTTTTAGGGCCCTCCCTGGTGGCACAGCAGGTTAGGACGCAGCATTGCAAGCTAGCCATAGCTGCTTCAGTGCAAGTTCGATCCCCGCCTCGGAGGTGACCCACATGGCGCAGCAGACCTCCCCTGACCCGCCCGCTGCTCCCCTCAGCAGTGGACTTTGTCAGTCTGCCTGTTCTGCTCCCCACTCTGTCTCTGGTGAAGCCTCTCACCACCCCTGCACCTCGGGCCTGTACCCCAGTTCTATGTGCATAAATAAATACACTTTAAGAAAAAAAAAAGTGTTCCTTTTAATCTTGTCATATGAGTTAAAGCCACACGTACGAACAGCTTCTTGCCAATGATGAACCCCCCTCCCCCCCCGGTGTGCTGTGCTGCTGCTGCTCACCCTGGGATGGAGTTTAGGGGGCTGGGGTCAGTAAGAGGAAGATGCAAGATAAAAAGACACCCCCTGAATCCTGGGTTGGAGGAAGAGTTCTAATTCTCTAAAACACACTTACCAAAATCACCTGATGATGAGATTGTCCCTGAAAGGAGAAAAAAAAGAGAGAGAGAGAAAAAAACATGAATAAGGAAGGAAAACTTGCAGGGGATGAAGCCATGGGGCAGTCACTCTGGCTGGAGCAGGGGCAGAGCAGAGCGCCCCACAGGTGGGGCTCCAGGCCACCGGCTCTGGTCTCAGGCACGGAGGACATCGCTCGGGCACAGCCTGAGACCATGACCTTGTGTGATGCTCACGCCATCCTGAGGCCACAGGGTGTGGGGCGGACTCCCAGACTTCCTCGGTTAAGCCCCCTCCTCAGTGCCTTACTATGTTTTTTATAGGACCTCTAGACCAAAAGAAATGCTTAACAGCTCTGGGTATGAAGTAGTTACACAATTTAGTAGTAATAGTTCACACAGATGTTATTTCCCTTGAAGAGGTCAAATATCCACAACCCCTGTGAGTTTGCACCCTACCTGGGAGTTTGAGAACCACTGATACTGTTAAGGATGATACAATTACTCTGTGAAAGTAAATTGTCTGAAACCAGAGTCTTTGGCTAGTCTCCTTCTCCCTCTCCCTCTCTCCCTCCCCCC